CTTCTGTTGGGTTTTGACAGAGCTTTTGGCTTGAGACCCTTGAGAAACAAAGTTGTGGCGAAACTCATCATTAAAATGATGGAAGGGCAGGAGAAACAGCTCTGGGTGAGAGATTGAGACCTCAATCTGTTTGAAAAAGAACAGAGAGAGGGTTTGGTTACGGCACCTGTGTACTTTTCTGGGGCGAATGAGGCCCACCAAGGAGCAGCAGCTGGGAGCTGAAGGCAGGTAATTCACAAGGAGCAAGTTGTTAACGTTTGGGAGTGAACATCTCAGAGGAGAGGTGGGTTCCCCCACTCTTGATGTCTTCAAATGGAGACATTTTTCTGTGGAGATGCTTCTACTGGTGCCAGCTCAGGTCTGAGATGAGGTCTCTGTGACTTGGATCATGCAGAAGCTTAATGTAGGTGACTTGCAAGGCCCTTTTGGCTTAACTTACTGCCGTCAGCCCCACCAGCCGTCTGCTGTTGGTTCTCCAGAAAGCATTTAGAGTTCAACCAGCGCCATGAAGTTTGAACTCATAGCATTGTGATTTGGTCTGAGTTGTCATTTCACAGCTGTTTTACGGTGCTGTGTGATGAGAGTCTTCCAGAGGAAGGGTGGCTGTGCCAAGTCTCCTGGCCCACCATGTAGGGAGGTCACACAAGATTATCAGGATGACCTCCTCTGGCCTGTAAATCCCTGAATTTGGCAACATCACGTGCCTCTTGTCTGTACGTATAGATGTGTGGTCACCATAGTGGCTGCTGGTTTTCTCCACCCAGCCCCACACGTGGTGGAGGGAGATTAATTAGTTATTGCTGGAAGAGTGTTTTGAGATACCTGCGGACGAGGACATGGCACAATAAGGTGTCATTCAGCTGTATTTTAAGTGCGTGGCAAAGTCATGAAAAATTGCTAAATCTCACTTAATGCCATGTGAGGGAGAGGATTGGCCTTTTTTTGTATTTTGCTGATATAATAACCCTTCTTTTTTCACCTGGCTTAATAAGCTTCTGAGTACATTTGTGCCCATGATGTCCACTTCATGCCTGAGAAATCTGCTGTTTTTAGAGGCCCACTGAAATGTAAAAACTTCAGAATAGAAATGTTTCAAGTCCCTGATTCAAGTACTCTTCCCATTCCCCCTAACCTGTTTTTAGCTGCTTGTATTAAAGCAGAAAAGTTGCCCGAAAATTCACTTTTATCTTACTCAAGAGTTATATTTTCTGCCTAATAACGCGATGCCCTCGTTTCCGCGGCTTGGGATGCAGTGTATGCGGTCAAGATCAAAACCTGGTCTTGCCTGGGGAGGCACCGCGTTTGAACCGTCTCGGGGGGACAGAGAAATGGGAGGAAGGTTTTGAATCTCAGCCCCATCGATCCCATCTCAGATCGCTGCCGGCAGGTCCCCGAGTGCTTCCTTGGTGTAGTTGCCCAGGGGGAAGTGCAGGGATTTACAAAAGCCACTGCAGAGTTGTCTGATGACAATTAGCTGCATCCTAAAAGCGCTGTAAATTGGGATGGTGTCTTGGAAAACAAGGCATCACAGGCAATAGCTTCAAGTTGCTTCTAACTTTTGCTGGAGCTGATGTGATGAATTGAACGTGCTCATCAAGGCTTGGAGGCATCCGGCTCCTTTGCAGCATCCTTCTCTTTAGGGAGGGGTTTAATGCCGGTGCACTGATGTCTCTGTCCTGTGGGGTCCCCAATTTCGGACGTGTGAGGTAGGATCCACTTCACTTTCTCCATTGACATGAGTTGCAGCATGTTATTGTTCAGCAAGTTGTGGGAAAACAAGTCAAGCAATAAATTTGCTGGGTTTTTCCTTGGGATCTATTGATTTACAGGGTGCTTAAATCTTAAATACTCCTAGATGAAAGGCAGGACTACACCTATTTTCTGTGAAATGCAAAAGCTGAACACTGACACTTCCAGGCCTGCAAAGCTTCAGATTTGATGGAGTAACCTGAAACATGCCCGTTGCAGAGCTTGTGCTGAGTTTTGCTTCCTGTCCAGATCTTTACAACGCAAGAAGGTGGACCTGACTCCAAAGTTCAGGTGAAAAAAAGCCCCAACTTTGTTGGGTCATTGGACATCTGAGCTAAATATCACACCTTTACCTCTCTCTTGATTGTGAATAGCAGCCAAAGCTCAGATCTGGCCCTGGGTTCTCTTTAATCTTTTGCACGGTCCTGTTGGAAGTGGGTGACACAAAAACGTACAGTTGCTGCGGCGGCTCGCTCTGGCAGTGGAAGAGCTTTAAAAGTGGCTTGAACACGAAATGCAGGACAGTGCTGTGGGCAAAACCCCTGTACTGCTGTTTTCAGCTTTGGGGAGCAGAAACGAGTTGATGTTTGTAGATGCGGCACACGAATCTTTCCTGAGAGCCTTTCTCCTCCCCAGTATCTGCTTCCCAGCGTGTCGGTGAGGCAGAGAAGGGTTTCTGCTGCTCAGCCTGGTGGTGCTTACTCTTTTATCCTTTATCCATCCATCCATCTTCAACTGGCAAGGCAGGACCTTGCCTAGAGAGCATGATATCAATTTACTGTGGACTCAGTCCAACTTCTGCTAATCCTAATGGGTGAGACACCCACAGACTTCACTGAGGTCAAGCTTTCTGAGGAAACACCGTCAGCAGACATGCAGCGTGGCACGTGCTCTTTAGCAGAACGCTAAATTATTTATTGGTGCTGGGTTTAATAACTTTGCAAACTTTCTAGGAGGTGGGATCAGCAACAGGAGGAAAAAGTTGGTGGTCATGGGACTTCATCAGGAGAAACAGTGCTGCTTTCAGAAACCCATCGTACATCACTGTTGAGCTGGAGAGAGTGGTGACCAGTTCCCAACTGGTCCAGGCTGGAATTTACTGGAGGGGCCCTTGCCTGCGTCAGAAGCCATGAAAGCTCCTCTTAGGTGGTTTTTGCAATCGCTGCTGATCCTGAAGTCTCCAGGAAGCACTTGAGAGCTGGTATGCGGGGTGGGCTGCCGGGAGAGGAGCTGGCCACATGTGGGAGGCAGAAAATTTCTGCATTTAACCACTCACGTAATAAAAATGGATCCTGTAAATGCCATGATGCACTGGGTGATTAATTAGAAAAGAGCTGGAAATGGGGGCTAACGACTCTTAATTAAAAAGGTGGAATGCCTGTGTCCCACTGGAGGGGCCCCTACCAAGGTCTGGTTTGCTGCCCTGTGTGATGTTCTTGGTCTTGTCATCGTATCGGGGTGCCAGATTGCTCTTCCAGTCCAAAAAGCAACTCTGAGCGGGGCCCAGCTGCCCGGTCTAGAGCCACATCCCCTCTTCCTGAGCCAGCAGACCTGGTCCTCCTGGTGCAGCTGCAAGAGCACTTGGGTTTGCTAAAGCCATTTCCAGATACAGCCGTGGCAATTTAGGAGAGGTTTTAAATTCTCCTTGTCGACAGTTTGGGGACCACTCTTGGCTCCTCTCCTTTCCTGGTTGACGCATCCAGAGGATGCCCACAGCGTGTGGGGCTTGGTCATGCTTCTGTGGAGGTGGTTTTCTTGAAGCCTGCGCTGGCCTCCTTGCGTCCAGGTCTTCCTGGGCCAGTGCCTTAGGGCCGTACCGTTCCAAACCTCCTGGTTTTTTGATTCCTGTCTTACCAGCTACCTCCCCCAAATCAGTGTGTGAAGTTGCCTCCTCTCCCGCTTCCCTCCTCATCGCCCATTCCCACCGTGATTCCTGCAACCTCTCTTTTCCAGCAGTTCCCAGATAGAGAAGATATCCCTGGGAGCATCTGCTGGCTCACGCTAACTCCGAAAGTAGATACAAAAGCCGTGCTGATTTTTGTCATGCTTCTCCACCTTGGGAGGGAGAGGGGGAAGAAATTCCTGTGCCGGCATTGTCTGTCTCTGCTTTTGCCTTCCCCTACGGGCGCTAATTGCATCGCAGCCCTCCCGGGGTGGGATTGCTGCCGGCTCCGCTCTGGCCCTGCTCCACCACAGCTTAGAGCTGCATAATTTGTTCACCTCCCTGCAATAAATTGTTCGTGCTTTTTGATGGATCTTCAGTGAAAGATTTTAATGCGTTCTTGTCAAATGTTCCATTTCCCCCCCCCCCCAGCAGCTATTGACAGATGAAAGCACTAACACTGGCTTTACATGGGAATTTAATCGTACCAGCTGTCATGCAGATCCCCGATACAAATATTTTCCACTGTTAATGGTTTCAGTGTGGGCTTTTTTTATGTGATCAAATGTAATCTTATTTAATGGAGTTTTATTGCCGTGACGCCTTATTCTTTTCACCAGGCTGGACTTTATTTTTAAATCAAGAGAGATTGTTCAGGGGAGAGCCAGAGAAATGACTGGGGGGATTGAAAGGCACGGGAAGCCTGGGATGAACCGAGCGACTATAGATCAGCCGGGGCAGGCGAAAAGTGTAAGAGCAAGGGGAAGAAAGGGTGCAGCGTGGAAGGAGCAGTCAAGAAGAGGGAGAAATTCAGTCTGATTTTACGCGTGTGTGGTTGAGGATAAGGGAAATTGCACAGCGCGCAGCTGGAAGAGTTTGGAGAGAGGGAAGGCATTGCAAACGAATTGTGTCCAAGGCAGAAATCGTGGGTAGTTGCAGAAACAATTCAGTTCCCATCAGCGCTAGAGAAATGCTGCTAGGGCCACTTCTTCAGTGGCCATAGGAGAGACCGGCCCCGTGGCTACCGTGTTTCCACCTCTGGCTGATGCTTCGTTATTGCAGAGCCACCTCCTCCGAGAGGGCAGGCAACCGCAAGCGCAGCCGTTGCAGCTGGTACCTGGCATCGTGGGGATCGGGTTCGGCTTTGGCCGTCCTGCGAGACGGGCAGGAGGCGGCAGGTAGAAGGGCTGGAAGCTGGAGCTGGCGCCGGAGTGAGCTGATTTTTGCGTAGAAAGCATTGCCCCATCGCAGGGGCTACGAAGCAATACCAAAATGCTGGACTGCCGCAGCTGGAGCGCGCAGCCCCAGCCCCTGAATCTCTTCTCTGTGCACGTGCAGCCACCGTAACTATTGTGTGTTCATCTCTTAGGTTGTCCGCACAGAGAAAAACAGCCTGAACAACCGGTTCCTGCCGTGGGATGAGATCGAGACGGAAGCCATCCTATCCATCGACGACGATGCTCACCTGCGCCACGACGAGATCATGTTTGGGTTCCGGTGAGTAGCCTCTGTGCACGTAGCCTTTGGACCCAAACTGATGTTTTCCATATCCAGGGTCTGCTCAGGTGCAGCGTGGCCTCGTGGCTAAAGCCAGGGCCAGAATTAGGACGAGCACATCCCTTCCCATGGCTTTCCAACTCAGTTTCTTGGAGGAGTAATATGCACTAATGAACTGTTTAACAAGTGCAGGCAGATGGGCTGATTTCAGGTTGTCCAGGCAACCCTGATTCTCACGCTTCTTAAACTCGACTCTTCGGCTTTTGCTGTGCTGATAATACTCTCTTAATGATTTTGGGGGTGCGTGGCTTCCTAGGGTGAAAAGAAACTGGAAAACAAATCCAGGAGGCTGTTGCGCTCCATCCTTCATGTGCCATTGGCAAGGCCAGGACGTTCGCAGCCGCTGCGGGACGTGATGCTCATGTGCTCGCGGTGGGCTGCCGTCCTCTTTGCACCGTGTGACATTGGGATGCGGCAGCTATTTTGGCTTTTTTTTTCTGCAGAGTGTGGAGAAGACAGACGTTTCACAGAAAAGGCTGGTGCTGGTGGCTCTCATTCTCACCCCCTTTCTGCTCCAGCGTCTGTGTTTTCCCTTGACTTTGCCCTAGCAAAAAGCTTCCTGATTACGGGGCCAAGGGATAAAGCAGTTACGTGGGCTCCTGCCGTGGGAGGTTTCTGCAGGCTGCTCCTGCAGCTCGTAGAGCTAAACCTCGCCGGCTGCCAAAGAGGCTCCAGGGAGTGAGGATGGGCACGAGGAGAGAGCGCTGGCGCTCGTTTGGCTGCGGCTCGTCAGCCCACCGGGCCGGGAGCGGGGGCTGCGGTTGCTAATCCGAGAGCACCCAGCAGCTGGCTGGGGGGCGGGAGATGGGGACCAGCTCTCTGCTCTCACCGAAACGTGTTGGCTCATGCTTGGGAGGAAGATTAAAAGGAACAAAATGCCTGGAAACCCAACAAGCTCTCACTGAAAGATGAGGAACGAGGTGTTAAAGTGATTAAAGCAAGGGAGTAGGCGTCAGGACTCCTGGCTTCCCCTCCATGCCCCGTTCCAGGCTCTTTATCTGAACTTGGCCGTTTTCTCCCCCTCTTTGGTCTCCGTTTACCTTCGCTTTACCACAGCACCTGGCTGAGGCTTTATCGATTAGCCCTGGAGAGCATCAAATGAAAATTCTAAGTGCCGTGTATTATTCTCACTCATATCCCTGCTTACAAACACCTTGTTCCCACAAAGCCTCCCTGTGTAAACGCGTTCAGGCGGTGAAGAGACGGTGTCTCGGCGATTGAGTGAACCTCTGCCCGTAACAACTGTGTTTTGTTGAAACTTTGCTTTGGGCTGTAATTCTTGGGGCCAAAAGCCTCTTCTTGCTCCATTTGCTGCTCAGGAGCGAGCTGGAGGTGGGTGCCTGAAGCAAACCTTTCCAAGGAGCACACCCAAACCGATTCTCTGGAGAAATCCTTATTTTTCTGGCTGAGCTGGGAAGGAAAAAGCGTCACGTTCATAGGAAGGCGAGACGTGGGAGAAGTGAAGGGGAATGAGTAGTTTCGACTCCGGCTTTTCAAAACAATCCCATTGGATTGACAGAAACCACAGCAAACAAGCGCTTGCTGGGAGGGTGGTACCAGGGAAGCTGCTGGCGGTGTTAATTACTCAGTTTTCATTACCAGGTTTATTAATTTGAGTAGAGGATGTGACAATAAGCACATCTTTGTTCCTGGCTGTGTCAGTAAGCGTAATGAAAGCTCAGGGCTCTCGGAAACTGGGTCTTGCCAGCAGCCAGCGATTGCCCTGCAGCCATTGCTTCTGTAGCTCTTCACGGGAACAGGGGCTGGGGGAGGAACCAGGAACTCGCATCCACAAGGGAAAAAAAAACCAAAAAGGCCACTTTCTGCCCTATTTTATGCCTGTGAAGAAGGGAAAGCCCTTCCATGTCAACAGGCTCCTACCTGGGACTTGTTTCTTGTAGTCTGGAGTCACTGGGTTTGGAGATGCAGCTTGGACACCAACTGTTAGCAAGATGGGATCGGATGATCCGAAGGAAGCCAGCACCCCTGCCAGTGGAAGCTGGATTTATTGCCCAGGTTAGGCGTTAGGTACTGACATTTTCCTTAATTATTCCTGCCAGTGTTGCAGCTGTCCTGTGGGATTTCTCTCGAGGAGAGTGAGCTTCAGATGAGTGCAGAATATTAAGCGAGCCCATGCTCTCACATGCAAACCTCAGGATTTAATTCCCTACGGCTCAACTGTGAGTGTGTGTTAAGGTGGAGGAGGCACTTACAGCCCCCATGGCTTTTCCCGTATGGACAGAGCCTGGGAAGCCACTGGGTGCTGGTTTGGGATGGGAAGCTGGCAGTTTGGCACTCCAGATCTTCCGTCTGGAGACACCAGGGTCTTCAGCATCTCAGCAGCTTTCCTAAAGTGAGCTTGATGTTATCTCGACTTTACGGAGAAGGAAACTGAGCTTCTGGGTGATGGAAAATCCCAGGGATTTGGGGGAAGAGGCCGGGAGACGCTGGGTTCCTCCCAGGCCAAGCCCTGGCTGCTCTGGACTCCTTGTAGAGGGAAATAAGAGAGGAGCAGCACTGGCGTACGCGTTGTGCAGTGATGCCCCTGCATGGGCTGCGGGAAGCTGGTGGCAAACGGAAGAGTTTCCCATCTCGCTGGCTTTCGCTGCCTCTTCCTCTGCCTTTCCATCCGAGGTCTTAAGTTTTCCATTCTCTGCGTAATTCAGAAACTAATTTTGGGCCACTGGGCTTTTTTGGTAGTTTTCTTTTGAAACTACGGAACAGTCCTTATGGGTTAGAAAATCTGGAATTTATGATTTACTAGCACTTCCCCTGTGAATAAGCAACTCAAACGTGTGTCTAGGAGAGGACCAGGGTGAGCAGCTCATCTTCGTACCAAGCAGAATTGGTCTGTGCTCACAGCCCGTGCTTGGGAGAGTTGGCTGAGTGATGCTTCACTTCACATCTAACAGCTTTTAACCTTTAACAAGAGAAGGCCAACAAATTCTGCGTGTCCATCAAAGCTGAGATTTCTGCGTTCAGCCCTTTCCTGAGCTACAACAGGAAAGAAATCAGAGTTATCTCGGGGAGAGACCTTGTTCACATGTCACTCGGGCAGCTGTGACGGCCGGTCGGTCCCTCCTGCTGACAACAGACCTTCAGTGCTGCAGAGGTGGGCGAGCTTGTACTCAACAGCCTACCTAAAAAGCCGTCTTTAGCATATTGGAATTTTCTGTATTTTTATTAAAAAACATTAAATGGACTTCAAAGCAAAGTAATTGCATGTTTTAACAATGTTTATGCTTTTTGCCCAAACTACAGTGTATGTTGGCCAATCTTTGGATGAGCAGTTGCCAAACTTTTTTATGTATAGGCATCTCCATCACTTGCAACCCCACCTGGGAGCCGGTCCGTTGGCGTCGAGGGCATAGCCCTGCGTGTAGTGGTTCTCATCTCTGGCCGGGCTCCCCGGGTTTGTGTCTCACTGAAAGGCTTTGTGTTTGCAGTGTCTGGAGAGAGGCAAGGGACCGCATCGTTGGCTTTCCGGGGCGCTACCACGCGTGGGATATCCCCCATCAGTCCTGGCTCTACAACTCCAACTACTCTTGCGAGCTCTCGATGGTGCTCACTGGTGCTGCCTTCTTCCATAAGGTGAGATATGGTGGCCACAAAGCCCTGAGCTTTCCCTTCCTTCTCAGAGTAACCAAAGTCTGTATGTTTGCGGGGTGTTTTTATTTTTTAAAGAAGAAATTTTGGAGCTCACCGCTCCTTTTCCCTTGCTTCCTCCAAACTGAAACACAGCCAGCAACTGGTCTGTGTCCCAGCGAACGGTCTCCTCGAGGAGCAGCATCTGTTTGTGCCACGTGAGAAGCACCACGGCGCTGAAGTGGGCGGATGGAGCGCGGGGCCGAGCGCATTTCAGCGATGCTCTCGGTCGTGGCGAGGGCGAGGCCGGCCACAGGATTGCCTGCCCTGCGTCTTTACTGTAGCATCTTTAATCTTACAGACTCAAAGTGTTGCAAGGGGTGATTTGCAGGGAAGTCCCGGGTTTCTGCAGCTGCGTGGTGGCATGGGCTGGCTGGTAGATGTGGGAGGTGGCTGGTTGATGTTGGAAGGGAGCAGTGCAGAAACTGGCTCCATGACGTGTGCCTCTCTCTGTGGGAGAGGCAGCAGTGGGGAAACAGACCTTGAGAAAAGGATGGGATGTTTTCCCAAAGGAACCATCCTGAGCTCTCATATTGCAGTGGGAAGGTAAATTCACCAGCTACTGCTGCCGTGCTGACTGCAGCAGCAAAGACAGCAAGACCTGAGGGGGCTGAAACCATTATTTCTAGATTTCTGAGGTTACAGGAGCCTCGGGACTCAGCAAGGGTGGCGGCTGTGGGGTAGATTTGCTGCTGCTCTGGCTACAGCAGATCTCCTGGGTGCAGGATTAACGCCATTATGTGGTCTCTCCACCACCATCCTTGAGCTCAGGGTCAGGCGTGTCCCAGCGAGTGGTCTTGGTGCTCACCTGCGGTGCCACAACTGCTCCAGGTCTGGTGCAGATGGCACCAGCGACGGGTGGGCGCTTGCTGCTTGGGACCACCTCGAGCAATGTTGTGCCTTTTGATCCTTTGCAGTACTACGCCTACCTGTACTCCTACGTGATGCCGCAAGCCATCCGCGACATGGTGGATGAATACATCAACTGCGAGGACATCGCCATGAACTTCTTGGTCTCTCACCTGACGAGAAAACCTCCCATAAAGGTAAAGTGCTGGGCAGAAGCTTGTACTGGGCTTTACTTTTCTGGAGAAACGGTGGTTTGGTTGATGTCTTTGAAAGGCAAGCGGGGTATTAGGAGGCTGCTGTGCTCCGGGGGAAATCCAGCTCCCTTCGTCTCAGCACAGCCTGGTGCAGAAGCTTTGCTGTGCAGCACGTGCTGCCCTTACCGAAATCTGGCTGCATTGCATCTCTGAAGCGCGGTGCTGCAAGCATGATGTGCTCAAGGCTGGCAGCACGTCCCCTCTCCGGCCTCGAGGAGATGTAGTTTGTGTTCAAAAAGGTATGAAAACTCAGTACAGCCCTTAGAAGCAGTCAAATCCTCACCACGGCGAGCGGATGAATTGGGGTTTGACTGCTGCAGCCCAGACCGGAGGGTTTCCTGGCTCAGCAAAGGCCCTTCTGAGCAGCTGATCCCAAAAAGACAAATTTCCTTCTTCCCATAACATACAGCACAAGTAGGAATGATTTCCTTGCTGATTTTGTGTAGCTTTCCAGAGACATTTAGGCTCATCTGCGTGGGGAGGGCTGTCGGTCCAAACACCACAGCCCAGCTGAAATTTCCCTGCCCTGTGATAACAAATGGATGTCACAATTTTGAGCATGAATTTCAGATGCAGCTCATTCTGCTCTTTATCGCTGCTGGCAAACTGCTCTGTACAGCCCTGCATATGTCTCACCGTCGCAGGCCAGCTGCCTTGGAGATGGGTCTTGGCCATAAATATGATGAGTGGGTTTTTCTCTGTGGTGTTCTTCCCATCTGGAGCTACTATCAAGTGGAGGTTGTCGAGTTTGGTGCAGCTGAGAGGAGAATCAGACCAAAACCAAAGGGCATGGCAGTGGGATGGCTGATTCAAGACAGACAAGGAAGCCCTTTAATCAACGGGTGGCCCCTCAGCACCTCCTGAAAACTGGAGCCCCCTCCAAAGATATTACTCTGGGTGCCTAAAACAAGAGGTACCCCAAATTGCTAATTCTTCTGGAGCATCTGTGGCCAGCGGGGCGAGGGAGGGGGCTCTGCCCCTCTGCTCCGCTCTGCTCAGCCCCCCCTGGAGCCCTGCGCCCAGCTCGGGGGCCCTCAGCACCGCACAGACAGGGACCTGTTGGAGCGGGGCCAGAGGAGGCCACAGAAATGGTCCGAGGGCTGGAGCAGCTCTGCTCTGAGGCCAGGCTGGGAGAGCTGGGCTTGTGCAGCCTGGGGAAGAGAAGGCTGCGGGGAGACCTTCCTGCGGCCCTGCACTGCTG